TCATCTTACCAGGCAGTGGTGACTGCCCCTGAGTCACTTGTGTGACAAGAACCCACAGCAGCACCATAAAAGTGTGTCCTACAGGTGAAGGTGCGGACAAGCTGCTCGCAGAGGTAGAGCAGGAGCCGCTTTCCCCTGAGAGCCACAGTGAAGGCCCTGGCTGTCACCTCTAGTTTAGATGAAGTTACGCTGCCTCCGGGTTAGATGCACTTGCCTTTGGTCCTGCGCAAGTACGGGCTCTAGGAGTGTGTGTCCCGTGCCCCCCCCCCCCAGCCCTGCCCTTTCTTGGCAACTGTGTGACAAAGGCAGGTGAGTCGCTTTCATTCTCAGGGCCTCTAGTCCTCACACCAGATGCCTACACGCTGGGGCATGAGCACCGGAGCCAAACCTCAGGTCACAAGAGCCTGGGAAGGAAGGTCTGTTGTGCAGAACCAAGCCCCTGAGGCCTGCAGCAGGCCCAGCCCAGGCCAGGGCTCCCAGATCCTAACCCTTTTGGAGCCCTGCCCTGGAGGCACTATGTGCTCAGGGACTGTGCCCAGCCACAGCCCTGAGTGCTTCAGTGGGGCTCAGGAGTGTTGCCAACACCTGCCTGGCACCGTGGAGGAAGAGCCCTGTGCTGGCACAAAGCGGATTAACTGCTCCAGAGCTTCCTCCCAAGCACCACCACAGGGTATCACCTTCATGCCCCCCTCGTGTGCACCTAGAACCAGACTGGGCTTGGAGCAATGACCTGTTTCACCTTTGAAGTGCAGTTAGCACAGGAACTCAAATCAGGGACCCAAGGTTAGGGTTGGGGAGGGTTGTCACACATCTTTAATCCCAGTACTAGGGAGGAAAGGCGGATCTCTGAGTTCGAGTCCAGCCTGGTCTACAGAGCGAGTTCCAGAGCAGCCAGGGCCACACTCACAAACCCTGTATGGAAAAACAACACACACAAACAAACTAAAAAAAAAAAAAGAAGTAAGCTGGGCACCAGGGGCGCACAGGCCAGAGAGAGGCAGCCTGGAGCACCAGCTGGAAGCGACAAGTGCCCAGTCTTCAGCATTCGGCAGGCCGGACAGGCTGGCAGCGCCCGGCCTCTGAGCATCAGTTCCCTGGAGACCTACCCCAGAGTACGGGGCGAGCGAGCCTGAAGGAAAGGGAGGGGTGTAAGGGCCCAAAGCACTGTGTGGCCGGCAGGGCAGTGACAGGAGCAGGCTCTCTCCACACTGCACTCTCCTGGGGACTGAGGACGGGGACTGAGGACGGGGACTGAGGACAGGACGGGGACTGAGGACGCAGCAGCCCTGCCTACTCCCCAATGTTGTCTCAACAGCAGCGTCTCCCAGAGCCAAGGGGTGTGTGTGCTTCACCTGTCAAACCAGTTGGAGGAGTAAGGGCAGGAGGAACAAACAGTAAGGCTGTCTGTTCTGGCCGGCAGTCTGTCCGGCTAGGCCACTGCCCCCTCCAGCCTCCCTTAGATCCCAGGTGGCCAGGGACGGTCACAGGAACTTCAGGAGAAGTGTCCTGGTGGGAAGCGCCAGGACTGGGTGAGAGCTGGCCGTGCGCCACCGTCAGTGGGAACGGCAGGGCAGTTGTGTGTCACGGTGTCATGTGCCTGGATCACACGTCCCTCTCACAAGCCTGCCTGGCAAACCCAGACTCTAGCGGGGCCTGCTGGGCCCACTGAGCGCTTTGTTGTGGTTTGGCCTGGACGGGGCTGCTGGTCCCTGGAGGAGCTAGGGCCCAGAGGCTGCCTCTCATCCGTGGAGGCCTGGCCAGCCCCCTCTTCCGTGCCCACATGCCCAACGCGCCTCTGCCACTCACGACTCTCACGGCCTCCCCACCCCCAAGCCTCACTTCCCACCCCACACCTGGCTGCAGCTCCCAAGCCATGGCCTCCCCACCCTCCCATCCCGCCAACTACAGCCAAGGCCCACTGGCCCCGATTTAGAGAGGAAGCCACAGGGCAGGCACAGCACACACTGTGGGGTTCCCGAAGCCTCCCTCAGGCTCATCACACTGCTACAGGGCTGCAGGTGTGGCAGAAAGTGAGCTAAAAGGCCAGCTCCCATCCCTGCCGGGGGACTAAGGAGAATTAGAACACCTGCCCCCCACCCCACCCCACCCCACTGACAAGGAACAGGACAGGTCCTTAGATCAGCCCACATCAAGGGGCCTGGCCCTCAGACAGGCACCTAGAACCCCAGACAGCCCATCCCCCCTCCGGCTAGGGCTGAGTGGGGGCTGGTGCTGGCAGACTCCTTCAGAGCTGTCCCCCTGCCCCAGGCTTCCTTTACTTCCCCACACCCAGTCAGCTCTCCCATCTGTCTCCATGAGAAGAACAGACTTGACACAACCGAGTCCCTCAATTGAGACCCTCCAATGACTGTCACTCAGGGCACTGTTCGGGGTCATCACTCTTCCACGAGGCCCAAATTGATATACCCATGCTACGCAGGCTCAGAGGCCAGATGTCACAACAGCTGCTGCCCCTGGTCCAGGCCAGACGCCGGCTCTCAACTGGGCGGTCACCAACCCTCTGACCCCACCAAGCTTCCTATCCTCCCCCCCCAGTTCCCAGCCCATGGACAACCCTGCTGAACCCCTGTGCACCTGCCCCTAGATGCTGATGGTTCCACAAGTCTCTCTGTCCAAACTGGCCACCTTCACAATCCTTCCCCTGTAGAGGCCAAGTCTTCAAGCCTATTCCCAGCCTGCAGCCACAGCTGCCTCTCTACCCTCTCCTCCAAAAATGAGCCCTGAGTAGTCCCTGTGGTCACTCTGGAAAGCTGGAGGAATGACAGCCTCCCTGGCCTGGGAGGCATCATCACCTGTACCTGTCACCCTTACCAGTAGCAATCCAATCAGCTGCTTTACAAGACAGGGACTTAGAGGAGCTGTCTTGTTTAATGCTTACAACTGGAAAATTAGCACCTTCATTTGGAGAGAGAGAGCAGAGGCTGGAGGGGAAACCGCTTTCTCGACTGACAGACCTTTCAGGGCATGGCGGGTCCTGCTGCTGTCCCAGAGCTTGGAGACAGGGGCTGATGCAGGAGGACTACCTGCCATGCCTTTGAGACCAGCCTGGACTACCAAATTCTATCCTGTCTCAAAAACAAAACAAAGCAAAAAACCAGAGGGAGGCTACAAGTGTGGCTCTATGGCAGAATGCTTGCGTGGCATTATAGAAGCCCTGAGCTCCATCCCCAGCCCTGCATAAAATAAGTGTTAGCACAGACCTGTAAGCCCATCATTCAGGAATGGAGGCAGGAGGACCAGAAGTTCAAAGTCACCCTTAGCTATATACACACAGCCTGTGCTGTAAGACAGTCTCGGGAAACTTAGATTTAATTAAAAATAATAATAATAAAAGGCTTGCCCTTTCCAGGGAAGCTATGGGCCAGAAACTTAAAGTGCTCTTACCTCCAAGCCCACACTATCTGAACCCTCATCCTGGAAGGCCCTGGCACAGTCAGTCAGTCAGTCAGTCAGTCAGTCAGTCCAGCGACCTCTCTCTAGGCCTCAAGGCTGCCTTGGTAGCCATCACAGATTTAGGAGGGCTTGACCTCACCAGGCACTCACTGTCCATGTGTGACTTCACTTAGTCTCCAGTGAACCTGGACGGATGCTTCTGTCACTCACTTTAGGGGGCAGGGCCGGGCAAGGCTCAGGGAGCTAGGGAGCCTCTCTGCAGTTGCAAAGAGCAAATGGGAAGACAGAGTGTGATCCAGCTGTCCGTCCTTCCCTTCTTTTTTCCTTTGGTTTTCTTATAGCAAAACAGGGTTTGACCACGCAGCCCAAGCCCTCCTAAAACAGCCTACACCGCTTTCTTACCCACCTCTGGATGGCCACACCGCCCCGCCTCTCCCCTTCCTGCTCTCCACACTGATCCCCAGGCTGCTGCCAGGACACAGCTGCCTCTCCCTGTCCTCAGCACCAGTTCCCAGAAGTTCAGAACCCCAAACAGACCACCCGGCCCCTGGCCAGCTCCTCAGGCCAAGGCCTGGGTCTCTTTGATAATTACTAGTCAAACTGGCATTTGTGGCAGGCTCCCATATCATTTCCTGCAAACCAGTTCCCCACCCCCACACACATCAAAGCCACCAGCTGCCCACTCTGCTGCCCACTGGGCAGCAGTGTCTGTTCCCGGACTAAGCAGGTTAGCTTCTAAGAACACGGCCACTGGGCACCGTCGCTCCACAGGGTCCACCCCAGCAAAGCAGACTTCGTCAGCACAGAAACGGGATCCACCTGTGTCCATCTTCCCAGTGACCTTTCACCTGCCCAGGCCATTGAAGCCAATGCACTCCTCCAAGGGTCCTTTCGGTCCTACCACCCCCCACCAACCTTTTCCGAAAGACCTAGACCTATGGGTCTTCCCATATCCCAACACACAAGCACCTGGCTTTCACCCTCTGTTCACCGAGTAGGTAAAATTCCCTAAGTCCTTCCCCAGGAAGACCCTGCTCGAAGCCGGGCTGGCTCCACGTCCTGCTGCGGCTGAACTTGGCTGTGGAATTGCTCGCCCACCGGCAAACTGGCCACCACGTCCTATGCTTTCCTGTCTGCTGCCCCTGCCCCTCTTTTCCCAGTCCAAGGGTTTCCCGACCTCTCGACGCAGTCCGTGTTTATTCCCTTTCCTCCTTCCAGCCAGGAGAGCGGCGGCGGCGGCCGGAGCCACCCTCTGCCTGGGGATCTGCAGACCGGCAGCTTCCCTGTCGTCAGCCCGTGCACCCAGACACCCCCGCCCCATACTGTGGACCGGCTCTCCCCGTCCACCCCTGGACGTGCTATGAACTCAAAGGCTGGCTGCCAGAGTCCCCGACGGTCAGGGTTTGAGATCCCCCGGCCCCGGCCCGTGCATCTGCCCAACAACTCTGCCTCCAACCCCAGCTCTAACCTAGGCACCGCTCCTGAGTCACCTCCGTGCCGGTCGGCGCCGTCGCGGTCCCGCCCGCCCGGCCGCCCGCCCGCCCGGCCCTCGGCTCGTGCCCGCAAGCCAGCCTCGCCGGAGCTACCGTGTCTCCAGGGGTCTTTGGGTTCCACGGCTCCGGACACGATGTCCTCGTCCGACGGGAACGTGACGCGCTTGGCTGAAGCCTTGAGGCGCCCGTCGGCCGGGGGCGAGGCCGCGCTAGGAGAGCCGGCTTCGGCCGGGGCCTCCTCGGCGTCCGCGTCGGCGTCGGCGCCGGCGCCCGGCCCGGGCGGAGCCTCCTGCGGCGGGATCTCCATCGCCGCCGCCGCCTCCTCCTCACGGGGGCCCCGGGGACATGCCCCGGGCCCCGGACTCGTCTCTCCGGGTCCGCCCGCCGTTCCGGACCATGGGCTTCGCCGCTGCTTCAGGCGCCGCCTCCGTCGTCGTCGTCGTCGCCGCCGCCGCCGCCGCCGCCGGGAGCCCCAACGCGCCTCTGCCTAGCTCCGCCGATACCTGCTCGTCCGCAGCCACACTTTCGTTACAGTCCGAGGCGCCCGCTGCGTACCGAGAAAAGCACAACACCGACTCAAGCTTTTGTTCTGGAAGAATCGTTTTGAGAGCGACACGAAGACAGGAACAAACAGCAGTAGGACCCACGGGAAAGAGAAACGTGAGCGACGAATCTGCAGAGCCTGAACCGCAGAGAAGCAGGGGCGGGGCCCGGTGGACGCCGTCTCCCGGAGCAGCGCGCATGCGCAAGCCTCAGCCGCCAGCTGTCAACACTCAAGCTCCCGCACATTCGTCAGAAGCCCAAGTGATTCGGGAATTAACTCGGTAGAAATCGTTTCGCCGGAGCCTGCGAAAGAACTGTCAGCTACTAAAGCCATCTGAATCCGATACCAAAACCACGTAAAAGTGAAAATTAAGGACCGCCGCCACGAAATTGCCCTCTGATCTCCACACACGCGTCCGCAAGAAATAATGAAATCATTTAAAATATAAACTAAGGATCAGAGACATTGGTTAAAAAACAAAATCAGTGCTGGGCCTGGGCATGGTAGCGGCACGCCTGTAATTCCTAGCCTTGCGAATTCGGGGCTAAACCGAGTGCTGGAAGCCAGGGAAAGGGCTATCAGAGCTGAGCTGAGTGACAGAAGCTGACAGATGAGTCTCTGTCCCCTTGCTTTCCATTTACAGACTAGTTTCACTGTGGCTCGTCAGACTTGTACCAAATGTAAAATTACATTATTAAAACAAACGAGTCTGTAGGGTATTCATGAACCTGATTTAAAAACAAAACAAACCTGGAAGACATTCCAAAGGAAAAGGATGAATCAGCTGAACCGAACCTGAGCGAGCCCAAGCCACGCCTCGAAGGTTCCTTAGCTCAGGATTCGTCGCAGTATTCCAGGGACTGAAACCATAAAAGGGGACTCGGGGAGGAGCGAACACAACGTTGCCAAGACAACTGGACAGCTAGGCAGGCGTCAGTGCGAAGTGAGGGATGACTGGCCGCTGAGGCTACTGCTGAAGGTAACTGCTTTCCTGTTCACAGCAGAGGGCGGCCGCCCTTGGAGCCTGAGAAAGTACCCAAAGCCCGTACGATTAACGCGGTCTTCATTCACGTGAACTTAAACTAAAAGGCTTTTGTTTGTTGACAGGTTCTTCCTTAACCCAGGCTACCCTCAGACTTGCTATGCGTGCAAGACTGTCTGCCCTTTAGCCCTCTGGCTCCTCTCCCCCATCGCTAGTGCTGGGAGTACAGGCTTGTATACCTGTGCTTTTGAATACCACCTACTGAAAGACTCCTAGTGGCGAGGGGCTGAAACAGGTGGCACAGACTGCCTCACCAGGAGGAAGGGTGACCTTCGTGCCAACTGTCAATCTTCAACTCTGTCACCCAGCAACCTATGGACACCACCGCCACTCCCGTGCCCTGCTGTGGGGAAACACATCTCCTGGTTGCAGTGGACCTCATCACCCAGAGGCCCAGGAGCCTGAGATACACAACCATGTAAGTAAGGTGAGGCCTCTTCCTGGGAAAAGGCCACCCTTGCCTACCTCAAAATAAACTTAAAAGACCGATCGATCTCTTGCTGGGCGGTTGTGGTACACAATTTTAATCTCAGCATTTGGGAGTAAGAGGCAGACAGATCTCTGTAGTTTGAGGCCGGTACCATCTACAGAACGAGTTACAGGACAGCCAAGGCTACACTGAGGGAAAAAAAGCTGATGTCTTGTGCAGAGAACACCAGCTGCTTGGGGAGGAGATGGACCCCTCACCATCATGGCTTAGCCCCACAGGTTTTAGCCTGAGATAACTTGCCTTACTAACTTTGTTTTTTGACAACAACAGCTGCTGATATTCCTACATTTGGGGGAGGGGGAAGAGACAGGGTTTCTCTGTAGCCCTGGCTGGCCTGGAACTCAGTCTGTGGACCAGGTTGGCCTTGAGTTTGGACATCTACCTGCCTCTGTCTCCCGAGTGCGGGGGTTAGAGGAGTGTTCTACCATTGCTGGCTGCCCTCCTCTTTTAAATGCTACTACTCCAGGGGCTGGAAAAACAGCTCAGCTGTTAAGAGCGCCTGCTCCTCTGCTCCAAAGACCTGAATTCTCTTCTCAGCTCACAAGCACCTGTAACCCCAACGCCTGCTGATTGAACCCTCATCTGACCTCCACGGCACCCACACTTAGGAAGCACACACATATAACACCTAAATTAAAAAAAAAAAAAAAAAAAAAAAAAAAAAAAACAAAAAACTTTTAAACATGACACTGTCCTCCATGGGGGACAACCGAAAGCATAAACAGGAAAGTGTGGTGGCCTGACATGCAATGCCAGCACTTGGGGAGCAGAGGCAGGAGGATTGTGACTTACAAGCCAACCTGTCGTCTTTAAAAAACACTGGGGGTGGGGTGGAAAGATCCTCAGCAGTTAAGAGCAGGGGCTGCTGTTGCAGAAGATCCAGGTTCAATTCCCAGCACCCACAAGGTGGCTCACAACTGTCTCTTACTCCAGTTCCATTGGATCTGGCGCCCTCTGCTGGCCTCAGCCGACACTGCATGCATACACAGACACCCATGCAAGTAAAACACCCACACACATTTAACAATAAAATTTTAAAAAGAAACAAGAGCCGAGCCAGCCGTGCAGTGGTGGCTCACACCTTTGATCCCAGAACTCAGGACTCGGAGGCAGGTGGATGTCTGAGTTCGAGACCAGCCTGTCACAGAGTTCCAGGAGAGCTAGGGTTGTTACAGGGAAACTGTCTTGAAAAACCAAAAATACCAGAGAGAGAGAGAGAGAGAGAGAGAGAGAGAGAGAGAGAGAGAAACAAGAGCCAGGTTTCCTTGGACAATGGTTTCTTTGGCAGGAGGGAGGTGGAGAAGCAGCTTCAGAGGCTCAGCTAGGAAAGCTCTTCACTGCTGACCTCAGCTATTTGCCTTGGAATCTGCCCCCGACCCCACTCCCCACCCCCTGGCAGGGCTACCATGAAGGAGGCCCTGACTTCCATCCCTGGCAGCCATCACCCGGCCTCCAGGGACTAGCCTCCGGCCCTGCTTCTGTAAAGTTCAGTTTTAAGAGGTAGAGCATTCCTTGTAGAGAGATCTAGAAAGTCTGTTGTAGTCTCCCACTGTAGCATGGGCTGGCCTTGGATTTACCATCTTCCCACCACATTATCAGCTTTGGAACTTCCCTGAGTTCAAAGCCAGGGTTCCTTGCAGCTCCATCTGGAAGCCGAGGAGGGTGTGCGGAGGGAGAGCTCTGTGGCTAGGAACAAACAGCTGAAGGCCTGGGCTAATGTGGCAATGCCTACGAGGGAGACGGACGGTCTTCACAGCTTGAAGGTATAGGAAATGATGTCACTGCATCGAAGCAGGGCTTCCGCCTGCACGCCGATGGGGGTCTGCAGCTGGGACACGTAGAAGTTGGCTACATCCAGGTCCGTGGCTCCAAACTGGGCAGTCACATGCACACCCTCGTGCAGCGTGAAGCTCACAGGGTGTCCCACCATGGCTAGGAGGCTGCGGAGGTAGCGCTCTCGGAGAGCGGCTCGGGCCCGCTGTTCCTGCGACTCTGGAGGGTCTTGAATACCTTCTCCGACTTCTGCGGCTTTGGGCCTCAGGAGGGTCCTGCGTCCATCAGGGGCAAATCCTCGGCTAAAGCCATCGGGGCCCCGAGGGAGGCGGAGCACGGGCACGGGCACGGGAATGGTCCGCGGGGTCTGCATGGCCCAGGCTAAGGAAGAACGTAGAAGGAAGGGGTTAAAGCCGCACACAGCTCCAACAGGCCAGTGTTTCACCTCCACACTATAGCCCCAGGTAGGGAAATTTGTCTGTGGTTGTCAGAGGCTTTTGGAGACAGGGTCTTGCTATGTGGCTCAGGCTGGCTCTGAACATACAGGCACCCTGCCTCTTAGGTGCTGGACAGGCGTGTGACACCAGATGGGACTCTTTCGACTTTTTTTTTTCCCCTTTTCTACAGAGTGTCCCTATCACACACACACACACACACACACACACTGGCCTTGAACTCTGTGTAGCCCAGGATGACTTTGAACTTCTGACCCTCTGACCTGGACCTCCCACGTGCCAGGATTGCAGGCTTGCCTTACAACATCTGGTTTATGGCGTGCTAGGGCTGGAAGTCAGGACCTCCTGCATGACAGGCAAGCTCTCCACTAACTGAACCGCATCCCGGGCTCCCTTCTGCCTACTGTCACCACTGTGTCCTGTGATTCTGGGGAGTAATTGCCATTAAGAATCATAGCCCCTCTGAGATCCGGCCTCTCCAGTCTAACCTCACTTAGTCCTGCCGGCCAGATCCAGAGAAACAGTTACACACGGTGACTACTGAGAGAAAGCAGCCCCGGCTTAGAGACCCTGTCAAAGGTTTTTTTTTTAAAGAGTTTGCAGAATCTTGGGTTTTTTTGGTTTTGAGTGTGTGTGTGTGTGTGTGTGTGTGTGGTGCACACGTGAAGGCGAAGTCAGAAGGGTTCGCAGGAGTCAGTCCCACTACATGGGTACCAAGGAGAGAACCATGTGAAGGCTGTGGCTCGGCGGTGAGCGCCGCCTTGACCCACTGAACCATGTTGCTGCAGAAATGAGTGAATATCACTTTGCTAGGTCCAGGCTGTCAGACGCCAGAGGAAGCAGCACCCTGAATGTCCCTGAGGCAGGCCAGCTTACAGCAAGACACCAAAAATGACAAGAGCTAAGAATGTTGCCCAGCAGTGGTGGCTCACACCTTTAATCCCAGAGCTCTGAAGGCAGCAGAGTTCAAGTCTGTGAGTTCAAGGCCAGCCTGGTCTACAGAGTTCCAAATAAACAAACAAAAACAACAAAAAACTAAGAACATGGCTCAGTTGGTGCACAGTGCTTGCCTAACTTACAGGAGGCCTTGAATTCCATCTCCAGTACCATATAAACACCAAACGCAGGTGAGGATGAAAAATGCAATTGGCTACAAATCAATTTGGAGGCCAGCTTGGGCTAAGAGACATCCTGTGTCAAGCATACAAAAGATTTAAGAGTCCCTATCATGTTCCCCTCTTGGAAAAAGTAAAGGAAAAAAACAATAGTTGGATGGTGGTGGTGGCATACACCTTTAACCCCGGCACTGGGAGGCAGAGGCAGGCAAGATCTCTGTGAGTTCGAGGCCAGCCTGGTCTTCAGAGTGAGTTCCAGGACAGCAAGCCAGGACTGTTGCACAGAGAAACCCTGTCTGGAAAGGAAATTGAGAAAAGTGAGGAAGAAAATGTCCTACTGTGTACAAGGCAAGGACAACTAGAATTGGCCATCTTCCCTGTTGGCCTGACCTCAGAGCCCTTGATCCAGAGATCATGGGTTCACTGCCCAGAGGTTAAAAGTCCAAACCCATGCATCCCAATGCCTGGCTCATCCCAATGCCCAAGGCCCATGACTTTGGTCGATGGAGAGGCAGCAGCTCACAGGGCTCTCCGTGGGCCTTAAGGAGAGCAGAGCTACAAACAGTGGCCAGCACCTGCAAGCCTAGCACTTGGCTGAGGGGAAATGGGGGCGGGGAAGGCTGGAGACACAGCTCAATAGGTAGGGTGTGTGTGTGTGTGTGTGTGTGTGTGTGTGTGTGTGTGTGTGTGTGTCAAGTATAAAACAGGGTTCCATCATCCGTTCAGCATGCACTGTTGTGGCAGAGCAGGCCTGTACACCCAGAACTTGGCAGGTGAAGATGGAGCACAAAAATTCAAAGTTATCCTGGGCCACAGAGTAGTGAGTTCAAGTCCAAGCAGCCAGAGGCTACTGCTCAGAGAGAGACTAGGAGACAGGTACCAGTCTCCCCCACACCATTAAGGTGACTGTTCGCTCCCACCCCCAGCAAATTCGGTAAGTGGGGCGGTTTCTGAGAACAGGCAGCCGGAGGGCAGGATGTGCTCTCCCCGGCGGCCGCGCAGGTCACTCTCCTTTCCATCCCGCTAGAGTCCTTCCTCCCTTTCAAACTCTGAGCTTGTCCTTCCGCCCCGGCGCGGCCCGCCCCGCCCGCCCGGCACCCAGCGCCCCTCGCTCGCTCAGGCCGTCCCCTCCCGGCACCCAGCGCCAACGCCGCCGCGGCCACCGCGAACTCACCCAGGTCGTCTCCGCCAGCGCCGCACTTCCGCCCCGGCCGCCGCCGCACGGCTCCCGGCCGGCAACCACCGCGGAGCGCACGGGTTCCGCCAGCGCAGTCGCCACACAGGTCCGGGTGGGCACCGAGCCCCGCACGCCCGGGTTCCGCCCGCGCCTCCGCTTCCGCCATGTGTCCGTCTGGTCACTCGTGGGTCGTCCGGGGCCGGCCGGCCTGCGAGTTAGGGACGTCTACGATGGCCACTTGAGGGAGCACGAAACCCACTCTCAGAAAGTGGGACGCGGAGGTTCCCAGGCTTGCAATCCCCCAGGGCTCTCGGGAGGTGAGGCAGGAGGATTGTCGGAGCTCTCCGGGCCTGATAGCCTAGGCTGCAGAGTTAAGAACTTGTCTGCAGGGGGCGGGGAGGGGGCAGGAAAAACGAGTGCCTCACGCCTGTAATCTCGGCACTTGAGAGCCAGAGGCAGGAAGACTTCAAAATTGAAGTTCAGGGTCAGCCGGCGCAAAAATGAGTAAATAACAAATAAATAAATAAAGTCCCACAGAAAGAGAGAAAGAAAGAAAGGGAGAGAGAAAGAAAGGAAGAAAGAGAGAGAGAAAGAAAGAAAGAAGAGAAAGGGAGGAAGGAAAAAAGGAGAAGGAAACAAAAGAAGGAGGCAGCAAGCTCGGGCAGAAATGAAAGGGGGGAACCCCCAAGGCTCAGAGACTATGATTAGTTTTCTCCCAGCCATTTGTTAAGTACCCCTGTCCCCACCCCTCCCTTCCAGGAGGAAGCTACCCCCACCCCATTATTCTCCCAGCCTTCACAAACCAGGAAGAGGGTTTACAGTGTGTTTACAGGGTGCTACATCTTGGATGGACAGAGGTCATTAGCAGTGGCAGCTAACACCTTTAGTCCCAGCACTTAGGATGCAGAGACAGGTGGATCTCAGTGAGTTTGAAGCCAGCCTGGTCTACAAGTGAGTTAGTTCCAGGACAGCCGGAGCTGTTACACAGGGAAATGCTGTCTTAAAAACAAAAAACAGCCAGGCAGTGGTGGCGCACAACGTTAATCCCAGCATGCAGGAGGCAGAGGCAGGCGGATGTATGTGAGTTTGAGGCCATCCTAGTCTACAAGAGCTAGTTCCAGGACAGGCTTCAAAGCTATACAGAGAAATCCTGTCTCAAAAAAAAAAAAAAAAAAAAATGCAAAAAATTGAGGCCCTGCATGGGAGAATGTGAACCCTCACCCCTCACTGATTTCAGCCTAGGTGGAACTGATCTTATTCCCACAGAGTTCCACTGAGGCAGGGAGAGGACTTGGGCTTTCCCTCACTGCCTGGCACACAAATGCGCTGCAGTGCAGAGCCAGGTGCTGTGGTGCGTGCCTGTCCAATTACCAGGGAGGCCAAGACGAGGATTTCCAAACCAGAGTCCCATCTCACTGAGGAAAAGTAACGAAGCAATAGGAGCTCTATTCAGGAACTGGACACCCACTCTTGTTCTCTCAAAACGTGCATTCTTAGCCCGGCAGTGGTGGTGCTCGCCTTTAATACTAGCACTTAGGAGGCAGAGGGAGGCACAGCTAAGTGAGCTTGAGGCCAGCCTGGTCTACAGAGTGAGTTCCAGGACAGCCAGAGCTCCACAGAGAAACCCTGTCTTGAAAAAACCATACAAAACTGCATTCTCTTTCACATTGGGGGACTAAAAGAGGCTAAAAGTGAGCAAATAAATAAACTAAGATAACTGGGCAGTGGAGGCACACACCTTTAATCACAGCATGCTGGAGGCTGGACAGGGAAGAGAGGGAGAGGGGGAAGGAGGCAGCAAAGGAACATGCCGGCTGTGATGGTGCCTGCCTTTAATACCAGCACTAGAGAGGTGGAGGCAAGCAGATCTCCATAGTTCCAGGCCGGTCTGGTCTACATAAGGAGTCCTCAGATAGCCAGGACTACATAGTGATCCTGTCTCAAAAACAAAACAAAAAACCACCACCACTAACAACAAACCAACCCTAATCCTCACACATCTCAAAAAAAAAAAAAAAAAAAAAAAAAAAAAAAAAAAAGGGAGGGAGGGACTGTCGAGCTAGCCCAAACCTAAAGGACATGAGTTCAATTCCCTATACCCACATAGTGGGAGGGAGGAGATCCAATCCCTGAAAACTGTCCTGTGACCTCCACTTGCATGCTGCAGCATATGCAAACACACATGGGGGGAAATGGAAACATTTTAAAATAGACTGATAATAAATTGATTTAATGATTTTAAAAAGTGCATTTAAAAATCCACCTTTGGGCCAGGCATTATGGCTCACACCTTTAATCTCAGCACTGGGCAGACAGATCTCTGTGAGGTCAAGGCCAGCCTGGTCTACAGAGTGAGTTCCAGGACAACTACACAGAGAAACCCTGTCCCCCTCCCCCACCCCCCCAAAAAAAGCCACCTTTGATGAATCTCTAATCCAGCATCTCCTATTTCTTTCAAGAGTGTAGGAAACGCCGGCTGAGAGGGGAATGGGAACAGATGGAGGTCATCTGGAGTAATTTGCAAGGCCTTCTGCAGGGTGTGGCTACTTTAGATAGGCTGGCCAGGGAGGCTCTGGGCCCAGGAGGACAATTGAGTCCATGCCTGAATAACAATATGAAGGACACCAGAGCTTGGCCTTGGGCCTTGGAATTCACTCCGGTGCCTGAGGACACCTGGGGCATCTAACCTACTGGGGCTTGGGTGTGTGGATGGGGGGGTGGGCAGGTAGTCAACAAACAGTTTTTCGACTGTGCTGTCTGTGGGGGTTGCCAGGAAAAGAAGAGAAACTGGAAAATGACTGAAGGTGGGAGAGGGCGTCAATGCCACTTCCAACAATGCAGCAGAGAAAATTCTTATCTGAGGGAAGTTTCAGGGGCTGGGATGGAGGCACGGGGGATTGCAGGCTGCACTTTATTTGGTTTTAATGGATAGCAGCATGGGATTAGGAAGAAAGCGGAGGTAGAGGATTTATTTTCTGTTTGGCCTCAACCCCTCCCAGGCCCCTGGTACCAGAAGGAGCAACAAACTTCAAAGTTACCAACAGACCCTCCAGAGTGTTCCTGCCTGCCTCTCCTTAGTCCTGAGTGCTCAGGATCCTGGCTCTCCTTGATTCACTCACAAAACTCAGATCTTCAAATTTATTTACAAGACAAGCTCTCCCTAGGTGGATCCCAGTTGGCCCTGCAGCTCATTATGTAGACCAGGCTGGTCAGGAATTCCTGGGCAATCCTGCCTCTGACACTGGAGTAGAGCACCAGGGTTATGGAGTGTACCACCACCAAAATCAGTTTGGTTTTTTGTTTGTTTGTTCTTTCCAGTCAGGGTTTCTCTGTGGCTTTGGAGCCTGTCCTGGAACTGGCTCTGTAGACCAGGCTGGTCTCCAACTCTCCGAGATCCGCCTGCCTCTGCCTCCCGAGTGCTGGGATTAAAGGTGTGTGCCACCACTGCCCAGCTTTGTTACTTTGCTTTGTTTTCTTTAAGAAAACATTTATTTTTTGGCAGGGTCTCGTTAGCCCAAAGTAGTCTCAAACCCCCTCCATAGCTGACTAAACTTGGCTTTGAATTGCCTATACTGCTCCCACACTCCCTATGCTGAGATTGCCAGTTTGCAACGGCTACCACTGTCTTCCCAGGTTTCCATTCTGCCTGGCTTGCTCATTCCTGGTACAGGGGGAGAAAACTGAAGCCCTTTGGGGGAAATCCTGCCCCCTGCCCAGCTTGATTTTGCCTCAGGGCAATCAGCCTCCATATGCTGTGAAATAACTGTAGGTGGCCTTGCATTTGTGGTTCTCAGCCTCCTGGGTTGCAGGGCTTACCAGAAGGCACTGGGGTAGTGGTGGAGGTAGGAGCCAGGTTATAAGTATTATGGAATGGTTTCTTCGTATTGTGGGTGTTCCAGAAATGGGGTGCCGAAGCCTGGGGAAGGCGCTTGTCGGTAGGGTGTTTGCTTAGAATACAAGTTCTGGGTTCAATGCCCAGCACTACATAAGATAGGTGTGGTGATGTACCCCTGTAAAACCAGCTCTGGAGAGGTGCCGGCAAGATCCAAAGGTCGACGCCATCATCTGTTATTTGTTACTTAACCAGTTTGGGGTCAGCCTGGGCTACTTGGGACCCGTCTTAGAGACAAAATAAAACTTAGAGAAAAAGGAAAAAAGGGAGACGAAGAGTTGAAGAGTGAAAGTGTCTTAGAATACTTCCCATGTAGTAAGAGGTGTCCACTACTCCTCACTTGGTGTATGAGAGGCGACACTCCCGAGCCTCAGGTATCACCAGCGCTACGGTGGATTTGAGAAGCGCTCTTCCCACTGGCGTGAAATCGACTCCTGCGGAGGGGACAGTTTGCGCCTTGGTCCCGGGGGCATTGGACTGGGCCAGGAGGTGGGGTTTGGCCGCGGCGACTGGCCCGCCAGGCCCCGCCCCCAATGGGCGGAGCCTCCGTAGGACCAGCACGTGTAAAAAGTTCGGCGCGGGTCTCCGCGGGCCACTCACCTGAGCGTCCGGCCGCCGAGCGCGCTGCCTGGACTAGCGCCTTCGCCCCATGTCCCGCCGCAAGGCCGGCTGCGTGCCGCGCCGTGTAGAACCCCAGCCCGACCAAGACGACATGGAGACGCCCGAGCTCGTCATTGATGTGAAGCCAGAGCGCGATGCGGGGGCCTTGATCCTGGGGCCCTGGTCCCCGAGGGACACGTCCATGCCGGAGCCCCTCGGCCCCGAGGGTCGCCTGGACACCGCCCCGCGCCCCTTTGGCGCGCGCAGCCCGTGGGCCCCGTGGATACCGCTGAATCCTGAACCTTCCGGTGAGTCCGCAGCCTCCGTCCCTGTGCGCATCGTGACCCTCGGGTGGGTGCCTCTGCCCCGGGGCCCGCCCGGCGTCCCCGGCCCTCGCCCCTGAGTGTATCAGGTTCCTCGGGTGGGTGCCTCTGCCCCGGGGCCCGCCTGGCGTCCCCGGCCCTCGCCCCTGCGTGCACCGGGCCCCTCTCTGGTGGGTACCCCTCCCCTGGGGATAGCCCGGGACGGCCTGGCCTCCCTCAGCTCAGCCTTCGCCTCTGACCTCCGGGCTTCCCCTCTTCACCTTGGAGCCCTCACCCCTAGCCGGGCCCCACCCCACCACTCACCACCCGCTTCCTCCCCTGCAGACCGCCAACCCTGGACCGACAAGCACCCAGATCTGTTGACCTGCGGCCGCTGCCAGCAGACCTTCCCATTGGAGGCCATCGTCGCTTTCATGAACCACAAAAAAATGGGCTGTCAGCTCCCCCAAGGCGGCGGCCCCTTTCCAGGTAAGTGATTCTGAGTGCAGTGCCCCCCTCCGACCCAGAGCTGAGCTTCCTGCCCTGCGGAGAGGGGGCTAAGGTGGACAGATGGGGCACCGAGCTTTACTTCCCCTTTCTCCTTGCTCCCCTTAGGGTAGAACCTAGGCGTGGCCTGGGCTTGCCTGTCCTAGGGCAGGGACTAGAGGTAGGGCGGGGGCTGGGCAGCGGAGGAAGGCCACCCACAAGGTGTGGCCAGCCCCAGAAGACCAGGCCGGGGTTTTGCCATACACCCCAATTTGGTTTCACTTCTCCTTCCCCACGGACAGAAATAACTGTCCAGGTGGCTGGACCAGGGCTGGCGGTAGTAGAGGGACTCGGAGAAGGTGGGGACAGTGGCCTTGGGGAGAGGGTTGGAGGCCCGCAGGAACTGAGTTCACCACCCCCACCGTGTTTCAATCCTTATCAGGCAGTTCAGAGCCAGGGAAGAGGCTTCTGGTGTGTTCCCTTGCTGGGATCTCCCAGCTGAGTGCTGGGAAGCCCCTGGTCAGGCGTTGGATACTCAAAAGAGCCGTAATATGGAGGAGGAATTAAAATTAGAGTGGTGCTTGGTCCATGGAGTGAACTGGCTGCAGGACTTGATCTGAACTTGAATTTCCAGCCCCCCTCATGTGGTGCTTGGCTGGAAGCTGGGAAATGGAATTATATTTAGGGGTGGACCAGGGAGGGTCTATAATCCAATCGCCTTTAGTTTGAGGGCGGGGCTAAGTGGAGTCACTGCTGGGCTTAAGGTTTTAGATGTCGTCTCCCCCTGACCTAGGCCGCTGGTATTACTGGTCTTACAGACCCAGCTACTTGTGGGTGAACTTTTTTGTTTTTTTTTTTTTGAGACAGGGTCTCCACATAGCCCTGGCTGTGCTGGAACTCTATGTAGACTAAGCTGGATTCCAACTCAGAGACAGAGATCCTCGTGCCTCTGTCTGCCCATTGCTGGGATTAAAGGCCATTTATTTCCACCACCCCCGGCTCAGATGTGGGTGTTTTGGTCTCTTAGGCTCAGCTCAGGAAGCTGAGTCAGCTAGGGAGGAAGGGTCTTGAGTTTGACAAGTTTCTGCTCAGCCTTGGCCATAAAGGGTTCCCTCCCACCCAGGATTTGGTGGCTCTGGGAAGTGTCCTGTAGTTGTACACCGTGGGTCTAGAGAAAGCATCAAATTTGCAATTCAGCGCTAGCCCAGCTCGCCAGAAGGCACCTTACCTTGTCTGTGCCAGGTCCCAGCTCTGAGGTTTCATGCTAAGATCTGCTTTTCAAGCCCCTGTCCCGATCCTTCCTGGCCTTGCTGACGTCCCTCCCCCTAATGTGGAACAGTTTAGTTTTGGAGGGCAGCATCTGTCTCACTAGGAAGCTGCTGGGCTGGTTGATGCTGCTAACCATCCTACCAGCACTGATTCCCTACCCTTCACTCCCCTTTCTAGAATCCAAGGAGCTGAAGGCTCTGAACTGCCTAAGATGTGGTAGACAGTTTGCCGGAGCTTGGAAGCTGCTACGCCACGCCCAGTGGGATCATGGGCTATCCATCTACCAGACAGAGTCAGAAACCCCAGAGTCCCCGTTGCTGGGCCTGGCTGAGGTGGCCGCGGCCGCCTCCGCAGTGCCAATGGTAGGGCCAGTTGAGGACAACAAGCCCCCCGTGGTGAGCAGCGCTGCCCGGCAGAGCCCCACCTGTCTGGTGTGCAAGAAGACCCTCAGCTCTTTCAGCAACCTCAAGGTGCACATGCGCTCCCACACTGGGGAGCGGCCCTACGCCTGCGACCAGTGTCCCTACGCCTGTGCCCAGAGCAGCAAGCTCAACAGGCACAAGAAGACCCACCGGCAGCTGGCACCGGGGAGTCCCGGCACCCCTGCCGCCAGCAGGGCCGTCTCCCCGGCAGCCCCTCCAGAACCGGCTGACCACGCAGCTGCTCCAGCCAGCACACTGCCACAGCAGGTAGAGAAGGCAGGAGCTGCGGCCACAGCGGGGATCCAGGAACCCGGAGCTCCTGGCAGCGGGGCTCAGGCTGGCCCAGGTGTTGCCGATGACTGGGGAGCCACCAGAGTACAAAGGACTGACCCCGCAAAGAGTGACAAGAGTGAGAAGGCGACTCTCAGGAAGACCCCCAAGTCCACAGGCAAGAGCCGCGGGCCTGGGAGCAGCTGTGAGTTCTGCGGGAAGTGCTTCGCCAACAGCAGCAACCTGACCGTGCACCGGCGCTCGCACACGGGAGAGCGGCCCTATGCCTGCGACCAGTGTCCCTACGCCTGCGCCCAAAGCAGCAAGCTCAAGCGACACCAGCGCATGCACGGTCTTGGGCCCGGCAGCACCCGATACGAGTGCCCATACTGCTGTGTGCCGTTTGGCCTACGGGCCACGCTGGACAAACACCTGTGGCAGAGCCACCCGGAGATGGCCTGAGCACAGTCCTGCCACCCCCTAACCCTTCCCTTTGTGTGAATAAACCATCCTCTATTTATTCATGTGCCTGGACTCTGGCTTTCCTGGGGTATCTGGGGTGGGAGGCTCCCCCTTCGTAGTGTGGATGCCTGGACAGACCGGTTTGGAGTGGGGGTGAGTGCCCTGGGCACCGGAGGGCTGGCACAGAAAGCCGCGCTCCCGGTTCTTGGTGTGGGTGAGGCCAGGGGCCGGGCAAGGGCAGGGCGAGGCCTGGACCTGTCACCAGAGGCCCCTGGGTGCAGTCCAGTCCCAGCCCGTCATCCACTGGCCCTGTCCGCACATGCCACAGTCTGGGCCCTTGACTGGATTGGCCCCTGCCTCCTCACAGGCCCCACGCACCACACCCTGAAGGCTCTGCCGCACCTGCAGGGGCCCTGGGCTGCATCTAGGCTCCCGGACAGCAGGCAGCAAAGGGCTTTAAATAATGTTAGCTTTTATTTCACTACAGGAACCCAGAGCGTCGCCGTCCCCACTCAGTCTCCACCTAATGCCTGTAGTGGGGGCTTCGGGACCTGGACCTCGAGCGCCTGCAGAGAAGGGAGACAACTGTGAGGGTGGGCTGCTGGGAACCTCCCTCCCATGCACACATGCACCAACATGCCTGGAGACTGCTGCTGAGGAAGGAGTGTCTTCCCTAGGAACAGGTCCAGCCCACCAAAGGAAGGGCACAGGGGACTTCCCGGGGGCCAGGGTTACCCCAGTAGCTGGGCCAGCAGCTCACCTTCGAGAAGAACTGTACTCTCGACCTGAAAAGAAGAAAAGGTCGGTGACGCCAGCCAGCCTCCGCTGGGCCACCCTGTCCTCACCCTTGCAGGCCACCTGTGTGTGCCTTGTTTTGAGACCGGGTCTCACTGTGCAGCCTCTGCTAGCCTCAAACTGGCCATGTAGACCGGATGGGCCTCAAAACTCAGACAGATCCTCCTGCTTCTCCCCAGGGCGTACACCACAACCTGGCTGGTTTCTGACATCCTGAGTACTCTTTCAAACGAGAATCTCCTGTGTCATCTACACTACTCTCAAACGCCAAAACACGTGACCCCCCTGCCCGAGACTCCGCAGTTTTGTGTGTGGAGGCAGTGTGCGCCTATGTGTCTCAATTGTAGCCCAGGCTGACCCTGAATTTGGCAGGAACTCTCCAGCCCCTCCTCACTACCAGGTCACAAGTGTACAGGATTTCTCCGTGTAACCCTGGTCCCTCGCCCTCTACCCCCGAGGGCCGGGAAGCAGGCTAAGTGTCACCACACACAGCTTTCTTTCTAATGGCTCTGAGAATGGCACCGTAGGGCCCGGGGAGGCACTCACTGTAGCGTGGGGAGGGTGAGCGGCTCTGGCGGCTGTACTGGCGTTCCCATTCTTCTCTCTCCTTCTCCCGTCTTTCTCGCTCCCTGCAGGGGGAGAGGGGAGGCAACCAACAAGGAGGGGTGAGCACCTGCGGGGCTCTACAGCGCCCCTGCTGGGACAGACTGGAATCCCATGTCCCCTGCCGGGAAAGCCAGGCCTAGTCTGTTGCCTATCCAGTGCCGAGCAGGGCAAAGTGAGGCCCAGAAGACAGGAAAGAGGCAGACAGCGAGGTGAAGCCATAGGCAAGTGGGCAGTGGTAACAGAAGCCAACACAACCGGTGGACAGAAGTCCCTGAACTCCTCCCTGGAGTCTGTCTGTGTAGCTCAGACTGGCCTTGAACTCACGACACTCCCGTGTTGGGATTACAGGTGGGAAATGCCATGCCTGGCTGCTTCTTCCACCTGACAGCAGCCTCCAAAGCTGCAGAACAGCTCGGCAGTGAGCCCATGTCTGTCGTTAGCTTGATGACCTGCATTCCATGCTCAGGTCCTGCACTGGAAGGAGTCCTGCTATCTGGGAAGCTGTCCTGTGACATCCGCGAACCCACACCGTGGCAGTGCCCTGTCTGGCCGTCTCTCCTGCTCTGCCTCCTCCCTGTTCTTACAGCTAACCAGGCATGCTGCTTCATACCTGTAATCCCTCAGTTGGGAAGACAGGCAGGAGGATTGCCGTGAGTTCAAAGGTAGTCTGGGCTACACAGGGAGTCCCAGGCCACCTATCTCAAAAAAGGGGGAAAAAAGCTGGGTGCAGTGGCGCACACCTTCAGTCCCAGCACTCAGGAGGCAGAGGCAGGCGGATCTCTGTGAGTTCAAGGCCAGCCTCCAAAAGGTACAGAGAAATTCTGTCTCAAAAAAACCAAGAAGTAAAAAAGGAAAGAAAAAGCAAATAATGTGTTATGACATGAGAAATGATAAAGCGGGAGGGGTAGGCCCTCCCTCCCCCTCTCCCACAGTTCAGTTCAGGCCATCCACATGCCTGCCTAGAGAGAGGCCATCCCATCACAGAGAAGAGCAACTCAGATGCGAGAGCCTAATGTAGCCCCCCCCCCCCAGCACGGACGAGAAAGGCCAGACAGGGCCAGGCCCCCATCCCCCTCCGTGTCCATACACAGTGTGACAGCCCAGGCTCTTCCTAGGGGCCCTGGGCAAACGGAGGACGCGGGTACTGATCCTAGCTGCCCAGTGTGGTGGCTCCTGAGGGGCTGGTCCACTTCAGGCTCCAGGAGGATGCCACCCAATCAGAGTCTTAAGACCCCAAGCCTACATAGGCCCAGAGCTCTGAGCACAGCTCAACATATAACGCAGGAAAAGGAGAAGGGAAAAGCCCCGGCCAAAGAGATCCACCACGGGCCGGGCTTCACTTCACCACTCACTCAAGTACCGAGCACTTAGGTGAGCTGCCAGGTGTGGGGAGGCCGGAGTTCGAGGGCACCGAGTTCGAGGGCACCGTTCAGACAGAGGGGCCTAGGGCCACCGGGGAAGGAGCTGCCTGGACAAGAGGACTGGGGGACCAATGCAGGAGCAGGCGTGGGGGCCGGGGTGGGCACTCCTGCCAGGGGGCTGGGTCTACCACAGGTCGGGGCCTTACTTCATGCGGATCTTTCGGGCCATGGCGCGCAGCTCATCCTCACGCTCCTGCAGCAGAAACAGCTGTGAGGGGTGGCGCGGCCTCCCACTGCACCAGAGTGCCCCGCCCGGAGCCCGGCCTGACCTGGCGCTCATGCTCCTGCTGTATCATCTTCTCCTGGGCCGCCTTCTTATCCGCCTTGACTGTGGAGCAAGGATGCCAGGCTGAGGGCTGTCCTCACAGCCCCACACCCAGCCCGGCCCGCTCAGGCAGGCGCAGAGGTCAGTCCACTCTTCCCCACGGCCGGCCGGGGCAGGGTGGATGGAGGGCGGACTTACACTGGCGGTTGAGAGCCTTCTGCATCCGCAGCTTCAGCCTCTCCTGCGGGGTCAGCTTGGGCTGCGGAGAAGGGGTGAGATAGGCCTGGGTGCCCAGAGCTCGCCCCGCCCACCTCAGCCAAGAGCCTGGGACTTGGGGGCCAGCTGGAGCCCGTGGGAGGCAGGGGTGGGACTTAGTTTGCCTGGGTGGCCCCTCCCCAGGCCCTGGGCTGGCTCTCCCCTCCCCCTGGGCCCCCTGCAGGCCCACCGGGCCCAGCTCTGGACACTGCTGCTGACGGGAATTAGACGGGCGAGTTCCAAATTCTTACTGACTTTGGCAGCTCCTGTCTCTTTACCAGCGGCAGGTTCGGTCCTGGTTGGGAGGAAACGGCAGTGCTACTCTTACCATAGGCCTCGGGACTGCCATCAGAAATGAGCCCCAGACCCCTCAAGACGCGTTCCTGACCCGCAGGACCACACCCCTCTCTGACAACCCACCCAAGCCAAGGCACTGCCCCTACAGTTCACACACCTCCGGGTTCCATCACGTACTCACCTTCCCTCCAAAATGAGCCCCGCGGGGGCCCCCTCAGTTCCTGCCTGACCCCTACTCTTTTTTTTGTTTGTTTGTTTGTTTTTCGAGACAAGGAGTTTCTCTGTATTACTTTGGAGCCTGTCCTGGAAAGCGCTCGGTGGACCAGGCTGGCCTCGAACTCACAGAGATGTACCTGCCTGCCTTTTGCCTCCCTTGGCCTCCCCACTCACTTTTTCAGCTTCTCGCCCACAGCAGGGGACGCTGCTGGCCTGGTGAGCTTTTCCCTCGGGGGCGATGGCGAGTGGCTCTGGCTCTGGCTGTGGCTGCGGCTTCTGCTGCGGCTCTGGCTTCGGCTTCCACTACGGGTCAGACTGCGGCTTCGGGAAGGGCTGAGGGACCAGCTGCTGCGGCTGCGGCTGCTACTGTGGTGCCTGGGGCCCCGAGCACCCCGCTTATAGCGCTCACCTGAACGCGAGCGGCTCCTAGGAGTAGCAGAGCGGGGCTCTGAGGCCCCAGGGACCTACAGGAGGTCACCGTTTCCACGCCCACGGGCCTCCCACAAGGTTGAGAACACCCAGTCCACGTCTCCCCATACTTCCGCCAGAGCGCCTCAGCTGCTCCCTGGACACATTCTAGAACAGGGCCAGCGCCCCACACGAGTGCGCAGGACACATTCTCGGTCTCACCCTGGTGCTGACTTCCCGGGTGGCCCGGCTCAGGGTACTCAGGAGCCTCACTTGGGTCCACACATTTGCCCCCAAGCCCTGGCCAGGCTGCACAGTGCCGGAGTCCCCGCCTGGGGCGCTAGTGGGATTCAGGTTGTGACAGGCTCCATTCCCCTCCCCAGCCTTTCTCCTGTGGTCGGGCTGCAGGAAAGTCTCAGAAGCCAACTTCCAAGTCTGTAACAAACCTGCCCTGGCTGACAGTGCTTGCTGTCAGTACTGAGTGGCCACAGCTATCAGGAAAACACGCACTCAGCCTCTCTAGAGCAATAGGGACGAAGGAGCCGGACTGTGCCTGGCAGTTAATGACCCCAGCAGCTCCCACAGCTGATACCGACTAGGAGGCTGGCAGTGACATTCCGACAGCACATACCATCAGTAGGGCCAGGGGCTACCCGCCCCACCCCGTTTTTCGGGCACATACTCCACCTGCTTCCAACCAGGCGCTTGCAGGAAAAAGAGCGGTCTGTCCCCAGCCTGCACCCTCACAAATGCACGCGCACCCCCTGGGCACCGACCTGCTTCTGCGGC